GCCAGGCAACGTGTCCCAGGGTCAGAGTCCCTGCAGGGAGCCCTTAAGCGTATAGTGTGAGCAGCTGTGAGGGTGAAGCTAAAGCTGCAATGGAGAGGCCAGGAAAACAGACTGTCTGCTGAGGAAGCTGCAGACATTGGTCACAACCACTCTGAGAGGTATGCAGGCAGCAACTGGCAAGGCCATGAGGCAGGGCTGCTCAAAACTACTGGAACTCACACCTTCCCATCAGGTGCCCTAAATGATGGATATGGAGCTGCAGGATTTAATATGTGCCCTTCTGGGTTTTGGTCTTGCTTTGATCTGATCTTCTCTATCCCTTGTTCCCCCGTTTGGGTATGGGAGTGTACACCCTGTGCAACTGTATCTTCAGTTTATATAATCTGCCTTTGATTTTTACAGAGGCTCACAGTTAAGAATTGTCTTCAGTCTCAGGATAGAGTTTGGACTTGGACTTTTGAATAATGCTGAAACTGCTGAGAATTTGACAAAGGATGATTCCTAATGTGCATTTTCAGTTGTACATAGGCTTGCTACATCCAGGTAGGTGAATTATTACCTTGTTATTTTCCTTATTTGGAGCTCAAGTATGGCTTAAGGTGAATGTGTTTAAATGTCAAGATAGTAAGAGGTAAAATATGATGGTTAATCTTGATTGTCTCTGCTTGGAGCCAGATAATATGAGCCAAACGAACCCTCTCCTTCCTTAAATTGTGGGTGTCTGGCATTTTGTCTCAGCAACATCAAAGCTGACTAACAAATTCATCTTTATATCAATAGTGTAGATCAAGGCACAGTAGACAAGAAACAACTACCTATAATAGTCACTAAATAACTATATATAATACCAAACATCTGCTAAACATATTCATGTGTAAAGAAATTGGTACTCTGCAGAGAGTAACTGAACAGCATAACAAGATATTCTAATCAAACTACATAGCAAAATTGAGAACTCGAAATATTTAGGTCTCTTTACTTGTGAAGCCAATTCCCTTAACACTGAATCCACGAGACAAAGAAATTACTATAAAAGAGATAAGCCTGAAAATCTTTAAAAATCCATATTACTCTTATCCTTTCATTGAGCATACCTAAATATAACAAGTTTAAAGTTTTTCATTTAAGTTTTTTAGACTATCTTTTATTTTCAACACCAACAGAGTTGGTGGCAAAAGAGTCAAGAGTGAAAACACAGACAAGCAAAGAACAAATTACAGAATTGATATCCAAAATTCAAATAACTCACTGTCAATATATGTATGTTTTATCACTTCCTGAAATGTTTCAAAATTTATAGGGATGCCCATGCTATCCAAAACAGCCACCAATTCATCAGTGGCAACTCGGCCACCTTTTATACTACGAAAAATCTTCAAATTATCCTGGAATACTGCAAAAACAATAAAGAAATAAATTATTGTAACATAAGTATCAACAGTTTTTCCTGTAGAAGGAGCTGATATGTCAATAACCCAATAGAGGAAAACACCCATATGTAGGCACGGGGTTCTCTAGATATTTACCTATAAGTAGGTATTTACCCAATTTTTGTCATATTTCTAGGATAAAGTCTAACGTTTGCTAATAATAGCTGACGTTTATTGAATATTAAGTATGTATCAGGCATTGTACTAAAAAGTATGACTTACCTCATTCAATCACCCACAATAAGCCTATAAAATTATTATCCATACTTTATAGAGAAAGAAACTAAGGGTTAGAAAGTTCCCTTGGATTACACTGTTAGTAAACATAAAGCCAGATTACAAATCTAGCAATTTTATTCTATAATACATCCTTTTAATCATTATCTTATACTTACCTCTTAGTTAAAATTTTTAACTAATACAATTTTAATCTGTGGTATACTCCACAATAGTAAGGTAACTTAATATAAAGTCTGGAGGATTATTAATTGCTTAAAAATGAAATTTAGAGAAGATAATGTAAAAGAAAAGAATGGCACAGATACGAAATTCCATTTCACTTGTTTTATCATACTTCAGAGGGTCTGGCAGTAGCTTCACCACCACTGTAAGGTTTTTATTTCTCCACAGAAACTTAATATCATTACACCAACTCTCCTTAGCATCAGAAATGAATGGGAAACAACACAGAAGAAAATACTCATACTAATAGAATTTTTCACAGAAAGTCCTTCTTAAAACAAACAGATTAAAAGTTGTGTATCGGGGTTGGGGATTTAGCTCAGCGGCAAAGCGCCTGCCTGGCAAGCGCAAGGTCGTGAGTTCGGTTCCTGGTACCGGAGAAAAACCAAAAAATAAAAAAAATTAAAAAAAATAAAAGCTGTGTATCACAGGTAAATTTAAATTCTCCTCTAACCATTGCATCTTTTAATTTACCTTGGAAAAAAATACAATTTTCACAATCAATTCTAGACAGAAAAACATTTTGTGGTCCAACTATATTTTCTTGGAATTCAAGATACAATAAGCATAATGACCTACAAGTGCTAAAATAAGCAAAACACAGGAGGCAAACCCAGGCATTCCTTATTCACTCTGCTGGTAGCTACAATGAGCAAAAAGTGGCCCAGAGAGGAATTCTAAAAATCCTCTCCTCCATAAAGCAATGAGAGCACTAGCAATATCAAAAATATGAAAACACCTATAGATCAATAAGAAATGAACAACCCAGTTTTTAAAATGGACAATAAATATGAAAAGGGAAAAGCTACATAAATGAGTAATAGTTATATTAAAAGTTAACAAATTCCATAATTGAGAAATATAAACAACAAGATATAACATTTCTTACAAAACAAGATAGTAGAACTTCCATTTCTCTTAAAGATATTTATATTTTCCCTGTATTTTCTGGAGAGATGTTTTCATTCTCAATGCTATGTTTGGCTTTTTCTTTTTAATTAGCTTCTATGAGATTACCTCCCCTGGTCCTCCTCTCCTAAGAATAATTCATTTTGCCTTGGCAAAAATTACATAAAATACATATTTATGCATATATCTGTATATATTTATAACAGTATAAGAAAAAGATTCTGAGGCGAATATTAAAGTGTAACAAGCTAGGAGGAATTTAAGATCTTTCACATGTTTACACACATATATCGCTTGGATACTTTATAAAAATAAAATACTACTATGTGTGATGTTTTAAAAGGAAGAAAAAGAGGTTTATGAGTTTTTGATTAGTCTCCTAACACTTTGACCACAAAAAGAAAAAATAAGGTCAACATAGGAAACCATGTGTTATGGTTGATACATTGTGTCAACTTGGGGAGTCTAGAGGTTTGGCTAAGTGACTCAGCAGGAAGCCAGGGTGCTTACTTTGTGTACATCCTGAGCCTGTGGAAGAGGAGGGCATGGAAATTATGCGAGAGCTACATGCCCCTTAGGTGGGGGTAGCCTGTTTACAATGTAAGGGAGGGAAAGAGGCTGCTTGCCGTGATTCCTCCCTTTTGCTCTGGCTGCTTTGCTGTTCAGCTGCCATTCCCCACTTTGCTCTTGTTGCTTTGCTGCCTTCTGCCTCAGAGCCAGCCAAGTATGGAATGACACCTCCACGAACTGTAAGCTAAATAAATCTTTCCTTCCTTCATTTTGGGCATTGGGTATTTTGTCTCAGCAATAAGAGAAAAGTAACCAAGACACCATGATTTAAAATATCAAGAAATATATGGAAGTAAATAAGTTATTCTAAGTATTGGTTTAACAAGTAGATCACACTTCAGAGATCACACATATAAATCTATCCTCAGAAAAAAGCTGTAAGTCAAAAACCTAGTAGAATCAAGAGAAAACCAATGTCATAGGAGATAAGCAATGTAGAAAGAAAGAAATTGAAAAAGAAAACCAAGTCAAGCAATCATATCTATATTATTCCCTGCTGCCTATGGCTGTCATTTAAGAACATTTATTACATGTATGACTAAATAAACATTAGATTTCTCTTGTCTTTTGCATGTTTTTCCAGGAGTAAGAAGACGATTATATCACCTGTTCCTGATTATAAGAAAATATAGTCTGATTATAAAATATATTATCCTAAGAACTGAGTATAGGAACTTGATCTTGTCTAATGAAGAAAGAAGGAAATTCTAAAATTGGGTCATGAACACTAGAGGTCTCAAACTTTTATTTTTTTGGTCTTTTTGAAATGGGGTCTCGCTATGCAGTTCAGGCTGGCCTTGAGCTCACTTTGTAGGCCAGGCTGGTCTTGAACTCACAACGATCCTCCTGCTTCAGCCTCCCAAGTGCTGGGATTACAGGCTTGCGCCACCACGCTTGGCTCAAATTTTTGGAAGTAGCACGGTGTTTAGATCATTAACATGAATACTCTAAATCACTATATTTATAATTTATTTGTAATGTGAACTACTAGGAGACCAATAAGTATCTGAATTTTTTAGGGAGCAAAACAAGCTGATTCTGGACAGAGGGAAGAAAGCACTATCAAGAGTGGAGGAGAAAAGAAATGTGAGACTTCAACAGGAAACACACACAAAGATGAAAGAACAAAACATGAAGTAAGAGTGACATATACAGAGATTAAAGATTGACTGGAGTATGGAGTTCCTGCCTGGGAAAGATTCTGTGGGAAGCTTAGCATAAGCGCTTAAATTACATTTACTTGGTAACAGAACATATATATAAATTCTTGAGCAAGAACATGGTATGACAAAAATGGTGGCTTAAGAGAATCAGTGCATAGCAATTTGATGCAGATAAAACTGGAGACTGGTGATAAAAAGTTAGGATGTTGTGACAATAATCCAGGGTTTTTTCATGCCTTTTATGAAAAAAAAAAAAAAAAAAGGCATGCAATTTTCCCAACCCACACTACTGAGGTTAAAGGGGAAGGGGACTGTAGAGAAGATAAATTAATATATACACCCCTACCTTAAAATCAATTGCTATCAAAATCGTTCTTTTATAATCTGGACAAATATTCTTTTTACCTGGATCCTGGGAGACCAAATAAGAGCCATCATTCAGAGTCTTAAGGAAATCTGAAAAATCCAGCATTCCATTAACTATTAAAAGATTCAGAAACAGAAAGTAAAAAACTCCATCAGCAAACAATATCAATAAATTCACTAAGAACATAAGATAAAACTGCAGACAAAAATGTAAATAAACTTAACTGACATTAGAACACCATTGCCTTTTCACAATAATAGTCAACATTATCACTGCATATAGACTAAGAAAAGAAAATTTATGAGAAAAAATTACATATTGTAATTAAGTAGCAAACAGTGTCCCAATAATAATACTATAGACTATGATGGCAGATACTACAGTGCTCTTTGATTAAGATTCTCTATTTATATGGAGAGTCTATGGCTATATTTGTAATCAGGTTAAAAAATTACACACAGCGCACCAATTTTATCTTCAAAGTGCTTAGGCATACTGGGTTTGACTTTTAAAAGACAGAGCTCATTTCACCATCTTCTAGAAAAGCCTTACCAGTGTTTCTACACCTTTTGGGGCCATTATGGATCCAACTGAGACTCTAATGAAAGATTTCTCTCCCCCACCACTTCCTTCCCTCTCTTCCTCCCTCCCTCATGAGCACTGCATTAAATGCAGAAAATATTGAACAATATTAAAAAATACTGAACAATATTGAACAAATCACCTCACTCTTTATGCAAAAAGAAACAGCTAATTCTTTTTTTTTAAATCTGCATTATACAAATGAAAATTTCTTAAGAAAGTTTTGTTGCTTAACGTCTATGAGAAGTTGGAATTAGGGAGTGGTTTTCAGCATGATAATGCACAAGTCATCTCTGACAGCAACCACAGCTGAAAATTCTGACCCATAAGGTCTGTGAAAGTACAGAATCAGGGTTTTTAAATCTCATTTCCTGGGCAAACACACATCTTTATCAAAGAAGATCTCAATATTTTCAAGATTCCTCAAGCTAAACAAGTATGATTTCATTTCCTTCTGTCACTAAGTAAATAAAACTAAGCTTAACAGGGCTTGCATCAGCAGACATTATGTCAGGAAGAAACTTATTATACACCTACATTTCAATTTAATGTCATCTGAGCAAAAGTAACCTACAAAAGCTTCCATCTGCTGAGAAATTAACATGGCCTGTTCTTATTTTCACAGTGTAAAATACTTTCTCCAATACTGGAAAACTGTCAAATCATCTGATCCAAACTTCTGCTTCAGTGGACAACATAAGATTAGGCTCTTCTTTCCATCAAAGAATGACAAAATTTGTCCAATTTTAATCAACTACGTTAAATTTTTTTTAACTGCTTTGTGCCCTTGGCTTAGGCAAAGATCTTTTAGATAAGACATCTAAAGTACAATCCATAAACTAAAAAAATCTAAGTTGGACTTCATCATGCAAATTAAAAGCACAATCATGTAATATATCTACTAGAATGACTATAATTTTAAAAGGCTGACCAATTCAAGAACGGTAAGTACAAAGAGTAACTGGACTTACATATTGTTCATGACAAAGTAAAATGATTTGACTTTACAACACAATTTAGAAATTTCTTAAAAACTTGAACATACAGCTACCATTCTACTACGAAGTACTTAGTCAAGATAAATGAAAGTATATGACCATCCAAAGGCACGTATATGAATATTTACACCAGCTTTATGTGTAATAGCCCAAACTAGAAACAAACCAAATGTTTATCAACTCATAAATAATTGTATAACCATGGAATAGTATTCAACACTATAAAAGCATAGACCAATCTCTATATAAGTTGAGAGAAAGAAACCAGACCAAAAAAGTAAATGCTATATACTTTATTTACATAAAATTCTAAAAAATGCAAACTACAGCGATAGCAGTGGATTGGTGTTTTTCTGAGGAGGGAGTGGGCTATAGACAGTGAGTGAGCCATAGGTATTAAATAGAGGTCTGAAGAAACCGGGTGCACCAGATACACTCGTCATACAGAGAGTAATGCTTTTTTCACAGGTATTATATACTGCAAAATTTATCAAATTGTACACTTCAAGTAAGTGCAGCTTACTGTATATGTTATATCTCAGTGAACCTATATACAAACTACTTAAAATATAACACATCAGGAAATTTTTCTCCAGTTTCTTGAGAAAAAAAAAAAAAACCGTGGAGAAAGCAATTACTCAACATTCTGATGCAGATAGAAATGACAACTTTGCAGAGTGTGGTGGCACACGCCTTTAATCCTAGCACTCAGGAGGCTGAGGCAGGAGGATCGTTGCAAGTTCGAGACCAGCCTGAGCTACAAAGTGAGCTCAAGGCCAGCCTGAACTGCATAGCGAGACCCTGTCTCA